CCGCTCCTGGCGCCCCGGCCGAGTGGGGGCCCCCAGCCCTCGCGCCAGCCCCGGCGGCTGCTGGACCTGAGCGTCTTCCGGGACCCGGGCTTTGTCATCTATGCGGTGGCCGCCTCCATCATGGTGCTGGGTCTCTTTGTGCCCCCGGTGTTTGTGGTGAGCTACGCCAAGGACCTGGGTGTGCCGGATACAAAGGCGGCCTTCCTGCTCACCATCCTGGGCTTCATTGACATCTTCGCCCGGCCCACCGCCGGCTTCATCACCGGCCTCCAGAAGGTGCGGCCTTATTCCGTGTACCTCTTCAGCTTTGCCATGTTCTTCAACGGCTTCACCGACCTGACGGGCTCCACGGCCAGCGACTACGGCGGCCTGGTGGTCTTCTGCATCTTCTTCGGCATCTCCTACGGCATGGTGGGGGCGCTGCAGTTTGAGGTACTCATGGCCATCGTGGGTACCGAGAAGTTCTCGAGTGCCATCGGGCTGGTGCTGCTGATGGAGGCCGTGGCGGTGCTCATCGGACCCCCGTCCGGCGGTGAGTGCAGGGCCGGGCGGCGCGGCCTCGCCCCTTCCGCCAGACGCCCGCCTCACAAGGTGGAGGCCTGGGAGAGCCTGGCGGCAGGCGTCGGGGTAGGCACAGCTTTACAGCCTGCGCCAGGGCTGCTGTTCGGGGCAGCTCACGGGGGCAAAGCCACTGCTACTTCCACTTCTTTTTTTTTTTTTTTTTTTAAGGCACAGAAAACCTGTGAAATTTGGGATGATTTTGGCTGTGGGAGGGCATCTGCAGCCTCTGGCTCCCTGTTTCTGTCAGTTTTGGGGAGGGAGCCCAGAACCCCTGTGCTGGGCCCTCTGTGGTTTCTGTCCCCAGTGGCAGCCACACGGAGGCCACCGGGCGTGTGTGTGTGTGTGTGTAAGATCACCGGGCCCAGCATGCCCTGTGACTCTGCAAATGCCCAGAGTCACATCTATTTTTAGCCTCTGAAGGGAGAGGAAGTTGGGAGGGTGGTGGGCGGGAGCTGCTGTGGGATCCCGGCCAGACCCCGCCCCTGTGCCCCTGAGGGCCCGGGAGCCCCTGGTGACTGGGGCGTTGTTGCAGGCAAGCTGCTGGACGCGACGTGCGTGTACAAGTACGTGTTCATCCTGGCGGGCGCCGAGGTGCTGGCCTCCTCCCTGGTGCTGCTGCTGGGGAACGTCTGCCTGGGGAAGCGTCGCCAGGCGGCGCCGCCGCCCGCCGAGGACAAGCTCCACCAGCCCCCCGCGGACTTGAGGGTGGACTCGCAGGAGGTGGAACACTTCCTGAAGGCGGAGCCTGAGAAGAACGGGGAGGTGGTTCACACCCCAGAGACCAGCGTGTGAGTGCCCGGCCGGGCAGGCAGGGAGCAGGGACGAGGTACAGAGACTGGCAACGCTCATATTTATTTCACCAACAGGACCAGCTGAGGCGGGGCCATCGGCTCGGCTCTGGCTGCCTGGTCAGCGGGTCAGTGTTTTACGGGGGGGAGGTGGCGGGGTGGGAACCGTGTCATTCCAAAGTGGATCTGCGGTGAAGCCAAGCCCCGGTTACTAGCTGCCCCTGCCAGGGACCCGGCCTGCCAGCCTTGTGCAGCCTGCACCCCCACCCCCACCCCTGTGGCCAAGGACCTGGAAACCCACACTTTGGAGACAACACGACTTTAATGCGAGCGTGGGGCTGGGGGAGGCTGAAGGGCGGCACTGCACTGCCCAGGACCCTTCCTCACGCCCTCCCTACCCCACCGCGCCCGCCCCTCTTGGCTCCTTCCGCCAGAGGTGGAAGGAGTCTCAGGAACCGCGTCCCGGGAGCTGTCTGCTGTGCTGTGCTGTGCTGGTCCCACCCCCACTAAGAAACAACCTGGTTACTAGAGTGGCTCTGGTCCTTGTCCATTTTCCCCGCACTACGTGTTGCAAAACACTGCTGACTGGAAAGCTGGGCAGCCACCATGCTCTCAGGGAGTGGCGAGGGGCTGGCAGGGCGGAAGCCGGAGGCCACAGACAGCGGTGCTGGGCCTCCAGGCTGGCCTGGGACCTGCAGAGTCTGAGCTGACTGGGGTAGGCCGAGTGAGACTGGTCATTGTCTGTGGGCTTCAAACATAGACTTTCCTGCCTTCCATTTATTCGTCCCCTGGCTGGCTGGCAAACTTGCTCTACATGGTGGGACCTGCAGCTGGCTCCCACGCTCCCTCGCTCCCCGTCCTCTGCCCAGCCTGCGCTGTGCTCGGGCTCCCCCCGGGCACCTGGCACCCACCTGCCCGTGCGGCCACTGGTGGCCTGTGTGGCGGGAGCCCTCAGTAGGTGGTGCGTCGTGAGCGCTGGGGACGGCAGCGGGCACCCTGGCGGGCTGGGTGCAGCCGGAGAGACGCCACGTCCCTGCTCCTCTGCAAGGAAAAGGAGGCAAGAGCTCACGTCCCGGGCCCGGCCGCACATGCGTGTGCACGCACGCGCACACGTACACACGCGTGTGCACACACACATGCATGCACGCACCCACGCACGCGTGCGCGGCCGCCCTGACCCTGTCGGGCAAGCGTGCTCTGGGTGTCCCCTCCCCTATCTGGCCTGCTGGGACTCGGCTGGCAGGCAGTGTTGGCCATGGCAGCCCCACAGCCCCACGTTGACGCCCAAGGGTCAGTGCGTCCTGGGAGACCGCCCCGGGCTCAGCGGGCACCACCTGTGCCCGCGTGCAGACACGAGGTGTGCTGGGCTTGCGTGGACAGGGCCTGTGGTCCTCACCGGGGCCCTGGGGCATCACTCAACCTTAGGCCACACGAGGAGGTGCCCTGCACCCCAGACGTCGGGCTTTGGGAAACAGGAGCCGGAGCCATTGCTTAGCTGGGAGGGGGCCACAGCTGGATTCTAAATGGGAGGCTGCTGGGCAGTATTACTCAGCAGCCAGAGAGGGAGATAAATGGGGCTCATGCTGGACTCCCTGCAGTGCGGAGGAGACCTGGAGACCCAGTGAAGGGTGGTGCCCGCTGGTGGACAGCCGGAGGGCTGTTTACAGTAGGTTCTCAAGGGCCCACTTCGGTTCAGAACACTTGAGGCAAGGCTCTGCACCTCTTCTAGTAAGTAGGCGGGGCGGGAGGGCTGCTGGACAGGGGCAGCCACCGGCAGGGGCTGGAGGAGGCTCAGAAGCCTGTGTACAGGCTACTCAGGAGGCCGGAGGAGGGACTGCTGTCCAACGCCAGCCCAGGCAGGAAAATCCCGACTTATGACAGTGGAGGGGCGGCTCGGGCAACAGAGCTCCAGCCTGAGCAAGCAAAGCTCTGGGACAAGCCCCAGGACTGCCGTGGGGAAAAAAGAAAAAAAAAGCTAGGGAAGATGGAGTCTGGTTGGACCTGGCTGGGGGGAGGGGAGCAGGTCAGGGAGGTGAGGGAGTGTAGGACCTGCCTTCCAGCACACATGCTGGCTCTCATGAAGGGCACCACCAAGGTGAGGTCAGACGCTTCCTCCCAAGAGCTCCAGCCCTCAGGAGGGGTCTGCCACCGTGGACTTTGCAGAAACATCACAAGATCCCCAAGTGGATGACTCACGGGCTCCCACTCCCCCAGCCCCTCTTCACGGCACCCAGCACCCATGGCGAAAAAGAAAAGGATGCCATCCTCACAGTCAGCTGAACAATGACAGCTCTAGTTGATGAAATAACCACACGGAAGGGGCAGGGGAGAAAGGTAGAAGTCATTATGAATTTATTATGTACACAATTGTTAAGGTACACAAATACAGTGGTAGTACAAACGCACAGCTCAGACTGGTCACCAAGACACAGGTTGATACACATTCTAACTACGTCTCCTGCAAGTGATGATGGGGTTAAATATTAGGCAAGAACCATCACAGCCACGTCCTGGACAACTTGGGGCAGGTGGGCATCCAGGCCCGGCCCGGCCCGGCCGCAGGACACCTGCACGTCTACAATGCACGTCCACCATGCGGGACTGCCACTGGCGGCTCACCCAGAGAGGAAGCCCAGCTCTGACCAAGGGTTTGCAACAGTACACGTCCAAGTTTCTCCAACCCCAAGCTCCCCATGCATTTCCAGACAGACCTGCATCCCTGCATGTCAAGGACTTGGGATTAGGAAGCACCCACAGGCTAACACAGACAGCTAGCAATGGCCCTATCACACCCCAGCGGCCAGCCCAGGGCCAGTGCTGAGAGCCAGGGAGCCGGGGAGGGCGCCGCGGAAGTCCTGAAGGCCTGACCCTAGAGCCCAGTTCACAGCAGAATTCCACACAGGATGCCCAAAGAAAGGGAGACGACACTCCCCCTCCCCCCAGTGTGTACTGCGCCTGGTTTCACAGACACCCCCTCCCCCCGCCGTGCGTTCGTGACAGGCAGAGTGGAGGAGGGAGGGAAGAGCCCGGTGTTCTCAACACCAGCGGCAGGGCTGCCCAGCCCCCAGCTCACCCACCCAGATGTCCAGCGGCAGGAGTGACACGGAAGTGGGTGGGCGGTTGCCTGCCATGTGGCACTTCAAGGTGGACTCCCTTCAACGGGTGGTCTTGTGGACAAGCCGTGGTGCCCAGGACAGCCTGCTCCTTGGCTTTGAGAGAGAAAGGTGACAGCAGACCAGCGCCATCTGTACGGTAGCACTTTCAACACACCTCAGAATAACCAGACACAGCGCCCCGACCACACACGGGCCTTGCCTTCAAGGCCTGTCTGTGGGAGCGTGCCACGTGGTGACTGGTCGGCTTCCTCTGGGAAGGCCACGCCTGGCACCCTCACTTGGTGGTCCCAACCCGGAATTTCAGCGTACAGTGGGGAAGGGAAAGAAAGATGCCGAACGTGGGGCTGATGGGGACCCACAGGACACACACACACGCACACAACTTCTGATGAGAATCTCCAGAGCAGACAGCACAACACTAGAAAACAAAACACGCGGGCCTCTTCTGCCACCTCCACCTCTCAGCGCCGGCCTGAGGCTCTTCAAGGTCAACACCTTTCTTTTTTCCCAAGACCGCAAAAACAGACAAGAAGGAAACAATAAAAAGACAGATTTCTTTACACAGATTTAAGCCAGTAATTTTTAGCAAAATGATACAAAACTGTCTTAACCAAGTAGAAGACGGGAGCTGCGGTGGGATCGGCAGGGGGCGCAGGTCGCCACCACCGGAGGGAGCCCAGAGGCTCTTGACTGGAGTCTGGTTCTCTGCAATGGTCTCCCACACTCTGCTCTTCTTCCCAGACCCGCGAAAACCGAGCTCACGTGGGGGCAGGGTGGCAGCCCCTGGCGATGGCTGCTCTCGTGGAGCCTGTCCGTTTAGTTTGTGTTTTGATTCCCCATGGGCGTCGCTGGGTGAGTGGCCTGGAGAGCTCCCGGCGTTAACGTTTCGGGTCTAGACCGGGGGGCGTGTCACTAGTAAAGCCATTGGTAACAGAGTAGATCAGCCATGCATTGTCTGCCCTTCACGGCAAAAAGGAGAGTTCTCATCGGTGCACGACAGACTGAAGACCACTGGAAGCCACCCGACCGGGAATCTGTCGGAGCCAAAGCACAGGACAAGGTCAGCATGAGGCCGGAGGAGTTGGCCGCCAGGTGCTTGGGCACAAATACCACAGGATGGAGTGGGGGGAGGGGGACACGCCGGCGATGGCCCCCGGCTGCACAGGGGCACCTCCACATCCAGGGCGCTGTGCTGAGCAGAGCAGGTGGCGGGAAGATGGGAAGGAGGACAAGGCATGCAAGCAAGGAGACCGCAGAGCCACAGCCACGAGGATCCACCTGGCCTCCCTTCCTGGAAACTAACCTGGTGCTCCAAAAAGCCACAGGCCTTGGGGAAGACACGAGAAGCAGCTCTCCAATGCACTTCCAAGAGCACAGAACGCTACACCAGCAGCAGGCCTCCCAGCGCAGTGCCCCCTCCCACCGAGCTCCAGCTCCCAACGGAAGGAGCCACTGAGGGCCACGTGGCTGACAAGAAAGGAGCCTGGCGAGGAGGCCAGCCATGCACCGACAGCAGGGAGTGGGTGGCTGTGGCTGGATGGGTTAGTGCAGACGGCAGCTGCATGGACGAGATGGGCAAGGACCAAGTTGGGAAGAAACACAAAATGAGGACAGAGGTAAATGAAAGAGAGGAAAGCCAGATGGGCAGAGACCACCAGGCATCTGAACGCAGCAAGAGCTCAAGAGCCCATACACCAAGCGCGGCGCCCCCGGCTGAGCACAGCAGACACACATCCCAGCACAACTGCCCAGATGAGGCAGCCTGACCAGAACCACCAGGGGCAGGCCCAAGGACAGCCCTGGCAATCAGACTGTGATCACAGAGAGGCCAAAGGCACGGCGGGGCGTTTCCCTGTCCAGAGACAACTGCACGGCCGATCCCAGCCGCTCTAGAACCCACACAACGAGAAGAACAAAGAAAGCAGAAGAGGCCTCTCTCTACCTCCAACACCTGGCATGCAAGCCCAGCCCTGCAAGCCCCAGGGCCGGTGGGGTCGCCGCCCCGCCCGGAGCCCGCTGCCTGCCAAGCCCCGCCAGACCGCACTCACCCAGTGCTGCCTTCCAACGGAGACGAGCAGCTACTTGCCGTGGTGTTCGAAAGGAATGCTATTCTGAGGTGGGGAAAAGACAGCCGTCGGTAAGTGCTCTACTGGCCCAGCCTGTGAGGCCCTGGCTCCCACTACCCGCGTCTGGCCTTCAACAGGTCCGCAGACACGGACGGGGCCACTGCGGGGAGCCCACACAGTTCTCAGATGAGTGGTTATTCCTGGGCTGCCACAACCAGTAAGGCACAGCTTGGACTTGCCGGATGGCTCTTGTGCTAAGAAAAGCGGATGCCTGATGGATGGCGCGGATGGGCAGGCCCTACAAACCGGGTCACAGCACATGCAGGGGGAGCACGCGGCTGCAGACCTTCGTCTGGGGAGAGAGCGCTAAAGAAGTAACTGGCACCCGTACAGACAAGCTAGGTGCACATCCTCCTCCTTCCCACCAAGAAAAAAAAAGTCCCAGAACAGATTGAGCGGCCAGACGCTCAGCACCCATGCTTTCAGCGGATGGAGACTAACCGATTCACACTCGGACTGGACTAACCCACCGGGCCAAGCGGAAGCCACCTCCCGCATGCAAAGGCTTTCCTGGGAAGAGGTGAGGCCAGCAGGCAGGGTGCCCAGCGACCCAGACGATGCCGTGGCACCCCGCAGGCCTGCTGCACGCACCCCCACAGGAGGCACGGCTCCCAGAGGAGCAGCAGCAGAGGCAAGCGTGGCCTCAGGCGCGAGGCTGACCCACGGCCTCTGCACCCAGGCACCTCCCGTCTCCAGCTCCATGTGAACAGACCCCCACCCCTAGACTTTCAGGGCCTTTACAGAACTGCAAGGAAACCTCCTCCCTGCCCTTCTACTTCCAAACCACCATGTCAGAGGCCTGACTGGGGGGAGGGAGGGGTCTAGGAAGAAATGATAGAAAAAAGAGCTCATCTGTCCTCCTTAGATTCGCAGTGGCTGCCCGGGCAGAGGCCAACGTCACCGATGCCTCAGAGGCGGACAGTGTGCCCACATCAGGGGCAGCCTACCCGTCTCCAGAGGAAAAGCCGAGGCGCGCTTCCTGGAAGGAAGACGCCCAGAGCCCCTCCCCGGGACGCAAGCACACGTCACAATTCTTCCTGTGGAACGCGAGTCCAAGCCAGCACTGACAGGCTGAGTGCCAAGCTCACCACATGAAAGGAAGAGCACGTTTCTTTACGATTTCTGAGCCAAGACAGCCACAGCAGGTGCTGGCCAGGGCCAGGCCACAGAGCCTCTGATCCTGAAACCCACGTGACCAGAATGTGTTATTTACACACGCACGTACACCTGTCCCCCTTTTTTTGTGCCAGTACAGGGGCTTGAACTTGTTCTTGGAATTATCTCACTCTGTTTTGTTCACAGCTGGCACTCTACCACTTGAACCAGACCTCCACTTTCAGCTTTCTGCTGGTGAATTGGAGGCAAGAGTCCCTGGGTCAGTGTGGGAACTCAGCCGCCTGAGAAGAGTTTTAGGTGTGAGCCATGGGGGAACGGCGGGCTGCCCTTTCTGAGCTGGCAGAGGATATACAAGCGGGCACGGAGGTCCGCTCCCAGGACGTGCTGATCGGCTGCCTGGGAAGAAGCCCACTCGGTAGCGTGCGAGGCACAGGGGCAGGGATGTGCGCACTAGACCCTTGAGGTCTCTGGCTCACGGAAGGCAGTTGTCACACAGAAAAACCCACCTCCAGTGACCAGAGATCAGTGACAGCCAGTCACTCGGCACTCCTGCCTGCTTCTCCCCAGAGTGGCCTCGAGACGCCTCGCTCAGCCGCACTCAGTGCCAGACCCCACCCAGTGAGCCGACCAAGGACCGCGGCTGGGAGCCAACTCCAAAGCTAATTCCCGCTCACTGCCTGTGAGAAGTGGCCTCCCCGGGACGAGATATCCTGCCCCCCCCCCCCACATGAGCCAGAGGACTTGGAAAGAGATGGAAATGGGCATGCAGGCACTCTGGTCTGTTAAAAAAGAGGCACATCAGTGACCATACACAACAGAGCCAAGGATGCTCCAGGGCCTGGACCTGGCAGGCCCTTCTGCCTGCCTTGACCACTTCCCTCACCAGCACAGAAATACCAATGAAGGACCTCGTACATGCACCACTAGGGGGACCACACGGGGACTGCAGGCAGGCAGCCTGGCCTCCTCTTTCCCAGGCACTTGGCTCGGGTGACCCCAGCTAGCAACCATCTAGAATCCTGGAGGGTGGGTCCAAGCGGGTGCGAGGCCTGCCAGGGAGGGCATGGGGTAGGAACCTCCTGAAATCACACAGCAGGGGTTCACGGTTCCCATCAGTCATGGCTAGGAGACCAGGCCATTGGCTCAGCCTGGCTGGCGGGTACCACACCACTCAAGAAGCAAAGTGAGGGAGGAGACATGCCTTCGCAGAGCTCTCCCCCCTCAACTCTGCGCCTGGCACCCGCACCGGCAGACGCATCCTCGCCCCCGGGCCTGGCTCTCCTGGGCTCTGAGCCTGCCACACACCTACCTGTGAGGTGGACATGCGAGAGGTGTCTTGCCGGCCCGTGAGGTCGGAGGAGGAGACGTTGACGGGGGCCCCACGGTGCAGCCGCATGCTCACTTTTCGCTCTCGTTCCATGCCAGAGACAGGCCGAGGAGAGGTGTTGGCTGGGGCAGAGAGAGAAAAGCCAGGGATCCTAAGGACATCTCACAAGCCAGTGGGTGCAGCCCTGGCCGCTGGCCTGGCCGCACCAACATTCAGATCAGGACCGTAGCTAAGTGCCTCCAAGCCCACCCCAGGAAGCTCCCAGGGGGTCTCCAGGGTAGCGGCACACCCACCGGCCCACGTGGGGCTGGCAAGCGTGGGAAGCGTGCTCGCACTATGGTAAGGAAGGCCTTAGGTCCAGTCCTGGCACCACAAAAAATCCCACTCCAGAAATGTCTTGTATTACGAAAACACAACATAGAAAAACAGGAATTTATCCAAACCGTTTTCAGGGAACACAACCCTTAACAGATCATGTTCTAGAAAAGGACATTTCAGGGGGGCTGCTGTGAACTGTACCCCAGGCCCATTAACTCTCAGGAGCAAAAATGGACTAAGACGGGGCCACATTACCCACCACCAAGTGGGCAGGCCCAGGATCCCCGGGCTTCGCGCTGGAGAGCTGCCGGGGCCAGCCTCCCCTCCCGAGGCACATGGGCGTGCTCACCCGTGTGTGAGGTAGGGGTGAGGGGCGTAGGGGGAGCCACTTCCTGGGTTCCCCGTAGGCGGCCAGAAGCTGTGGAAGGGAGGCCGCGGGTGGCTGGGTTCCGGGAGTGTCTCAATCGCTCCTCTCGGTCCCGGCGCTCCCTCTCAGCATCATCTGCAGCCCGGCTGGCACCCTGGGGAGGAACAAAAAGGACGAGAACAGAACACAACAGAAGGAAACCAGGCTTTGGTAAAGAACCTTGGCTGGCAAACCAGGGAGCGTTTGGGGTAGAAAGCCACCAGGGCAGCAGAGAAAGCCAGAAGATGCAACTTCTCCATAAGGTGAGGGCACCATCCTGGAGCTCTTCAACTTTTCATTAGGAAGCACTCACATGCTGATAAGGTAGAGGGAATACTTGAGCTCAGAGGTCCAAGCAGAGTCCAGACCCAGCCCATGGGGGGCAGCCACCTTGTGCACACAGCCCGCATCAGGGATCGCACCAGGTTTGTAAGACAGATTTGATCTTAGGCAGTTAAGGTGAAACACCAGTTGGAACTATATTTATCTTATTACCAATGCTCTGAGTTGGGCTCCTCTCGCTAGAGTTCATGGTCATATCCTGTCTGCCTGTGTTGCCAGACTCAAGCCCACCTCTCACAGGTGCTCTGGAGCTGCTGTTAAGCCACATGGTAGAGCTGAGGGGTTGCAACCCTACACAGCCAGCAGTTGGTAATACGCAGTAATTAGCCCTTTTCAGATCAAATTTTCTTTTTCTTTTTGTCGGTCGTGGAACTTGAACTCTGGGCCTGGGCACTGTCCCTCAGCTCTTCAGCTCAAGGCGAGCGCTCTACCACTTGAACTACAGTGCCACTTCCGGTTTTCTGGTGGTTTATTGGGGATAGGAGTCTCACGGTCTCTCCTGCCCGGGCTGGCTTTGAACTGCGATCCTCAGATCTCAGCCTCCTGAGTAGCTAGGATTACAGGCGTGAGCCACCAGCACCCGGCTTCAGATCAAATTTTCAAGGCCAGACAAGGTCAGAACCAAGCTAGGGGGAGAAGCTGGACAGTCCTCAGAAGCAGCACAGTGCTGTCCTTTAGCACTCGGGCAAACTACCCTGAAGGCTTTCTTCCAGTGCCAGGTCAGGTCAGGCCAGGCCAGGCGCATGTGGAGCAGGACCAGGTTTGAGCAGGGTAGTTTATGCTCTCCTCACTGGGCTGGGCATAGACATGTCTGGAACAGCCTTTGGCTTGTAGCAAACAACTCTGTTCTTCAACCAGTAAAACCTATTTTTGGAGGCAGGGTCCCAATATGTAGTCTAGGCAGGCTGCAGGAGCGCTAAGATTACACGAGTATGCTATTAACCCTGACTCAAAAGACACATTTTAAATGAAAACAGAAACCATGACCCACAGAAGCATGAGACCGGGTGGCAGGACCTCCATGTGTTAAGTGCACACCAGGGCCATTGCAGGGACCAGTGGCCCCAAGTTCTGGGGCTTCCTGGGCTACACACCTGAGCACTCAGAGGAAGACAAAGGTAAAACTAGACTTAAGAGCAGAGCCAAACTGAATGCTAGGCAACCTGCCCCACCAGCTTTCCCATGTGGAGCAGACGGTAGGGAGGGGCGGAGCTGAGCGCAGGGAGAGGCGGTCCCGGGAGATAGACAGCAGAAAACGGCTCACGTAGGCAACTCACAGCCACGAGCATGCAAGCCCAGAGGCCCAGGAAAGTCCCATGAGGCTTGAGTTCAAGCCAAAGAAAGTAATTACAACAGCAAGACCGTTCAAACTGGTGTGTGATATAGCACACGCTGTAAAGTACGGAGGGCCGAGAGGACTGCCTGCAGCCCGGAGTCAAGACAAGCTGCCTGAAAGGAACTCCCGAGAAGTAGCTCGAAGCAGCGGCACTCAATGGACACTGTGGAAAATCAACTAGACAACTTGGAGGTGGGACAGGAGAAAAACTGAGAGGAAGTGAGGAAAGGGGTGACGTAAGAAATGTATTCTTTACCTGACTTATATAACTATCCCTTCTGTATATTATCTTTACAATCACAATAAAAAAATACAAATGAACAAGTAGCAGCTTGCCAGGTGCCGGTGGCTCACGCCTGTAACCCTAGGTATTTGGGAGGCTGAGATCTGAGGATCATGTTCAAAGCCAGCTCGGACAGGAAAGTCCATGAGACTTTTTTTTTTTTTTTTTTTTGGGTCCGGTCGTGGGGCCTGAACTCTGGTCCTGGGCACTGTCCCTCAGCTCTTCAGCTCAAGGCTAGCACTCTACCACTTGAGCCACAGCGCTACTTCCGGCCTTTTTCTTTTTGTTTTATGTGGTGCTGAGGAATCGAACCCAGGGCCTCAGGCATGCAAGGCAAGCACTCTACCACTGAGCCACCTTCCCAGCTCTCCGTGAGACTCTTAATCTCCACCAGAAAACCGGAAGGGGTACTGTGGCTCAAATGGTAGAGCGCTGGCCTTGAGTGAAGAGCTGAAGGACAGCGCCCCGGCCCAGAGTTCAGGCCCCACGACCGACAAAAAAAAAAAAGTAGTAGCTCTAATCTGCTGAATAAAGATGGAGGGGCTGGAGCTTTAACTCAAGTTAAATACAGAGTATTAGCCAGTGAGTGAACGTGTCAGATACCGACTTTGAGTCCTGTTCTAGGACAAAAAAGAAAAAGGAAAGATTACAGAGAAAGAGAAGGCTGACATTTCACCTAAGCAACGCCAGCAATCCCTGCGGAGAGGCCCTGAGTGAGCTGCACCTTGGGCTCAGGGCCTCCCTGCCTCTGCAAGCAGCTTCCTTCTCCGTTCTGAGTTCACAGGCAAACATGCCTGTAGGCGGAGCTCACTTCACCGTGCAGCAAATGCATCCTGGCCCTCACACACAAAAGGCCTGCCCACCCGTGCCAGCAACACTCGCATTCCAAGCTCTGAGACAGACCAAGCCGACAGTGGCACTTACGAATTTGAGCATGTTCCAGTCGAACACGTAGTCGTAAGAGAAGCCCTGGCGGTGGAACAGGTTCCTGAAGAGCTGTCTCAGGTAGGAGTAGTCGGGCTTGTCATCGAAGCGCAGCGAGCGGCAAAAATTCAGGTAAGTGGCAAATTCAGCTGTAAAACGAGAAACCCAAAGCTAGCTAGCCATTATGACCTACAATGCAGACCAGTGTCTGTTTCTCCTGGTACCAACATACTGACGACATAAAAATCGAAATCTGAGCTGGGTGCTGGTGGCTCACACCCGTCATCCTAGCTACTCAGGAGGCTGAGATCTGAGGATCGCTGTTCAAAGCCAGCCCAGGCAGGAAAGTCCGTGAGACTCTTATCTCCGATTAACCACTAGAAAACTGGAAGTGGTGCTGTGTCTCAAGCGGTAGAGTGCTCACCTTGAGCTGAAGAGCACAACAGCGCCCGGGCCCAGAGTTCAAGCCCCACAACCAAAAAAAAAACAAAAAAACAAACAAACAAAAAAAAGAATTAAACACACAAAAATGCCAAGGACTAGATGGGGGTCGCTTAGTGGTAGAAGGCTTGCTTTGCTCCTCCTCTACCATGCACAAGGCCCTGGGATACATAGCCAACACCTCCAAAAGAATAAGTAAAAATGACAAAATCAACACAATAGGGTACAATCTAATTACACAGCTCCCAAGTGAGAGCACTCAGTCTGGCCTCGTTCTTGTCTCTCTAGAGCACCTTCTAGACAAGAGCGACTCAGGAATACAACAGAAGGAACAGAAGCCACTGTCACATTGCACAAAAATGCGCTGCTCTGGCCAACCCTTCTCTAGAAGACAAGGCAGGCAGGCAGGCATCTTCCCACAGCAACCAGCTAGCACAGGCAGCCAGCACTGGTGAGGAGCAGGGACAGGGCACGAGGGCGGAGGGCAGGGCAGAGCGCTCACAGGGATAGCCTTTGCACAGCACTTCAATAGGGGTGGACATCTTCTTCTCACTGATCCTCTCATACTTCTGCCTCTTGGTGGCAGCCTTCAGCCCCTGCCAGGGGAGAGAGCCCAGGTTGAAGTACATCAGCACGTACCCCAGAGACTCCAAGTCGTCTCTTCGAGATTGTTCTGGAAAGAAAAGGGAACTACATGAAAGATGGTACGTGTGTTTATAAAATCAGAAAACCTAGCAAGCATAATGGAAATAAACTTTTTTTTTTTTTTGGTCTGGTCATGGGGCCTGTACTCTGGGCTTGGGCGCTGTCCCTCAGCTCTTCAGCTCAAGGCTAGCGCTCTACCACTTGAGCCACAGCGCCAGTTCTGGCTTTTTTCTTTTTGCTTATGTGGTGCTTAGGAATCGAACCCAGGGCCTTGAGCATGCAAGACAAGTGCTCTACCACTGAGCCACCTTCCCAGCCCCTGGACATAAACTTTAAAAATAAAAAATTCCCACCAGCAATGTCAATGTCTCAGACAGCTGTTAAGAAAAGCCAGTCCTAGCTGGGTTCTGCGGCTCATGCCTGTCATTCCAGATGCTCAGGAGGCTGAGATCTGAGGATCACAGTTCAAAGCCAGCCAAGTCCATGAGACTCATCTCCAATTATATACTAAAAGCTGGCTCAGGTGGTAGAGTGTTAGCTTTGAGCACAAAAGCTCCAGGACCGTGCCCAGACTGTGAGTCCAGGCCCCAGAATCGCCACCCCCCCCCCGAAAGAAAAGCCAAGCTCTTGTCCCTTCAGCCTTTGCTGAAGTCAGGTCTGTCAACAGGCTCCAGACCAATGGGCTCTACGCCTTAAGTCTGCCTGCAAGCAGCCCTCTCCCGCAGGCCGGCTCACCGATTCCGAGGTGCGTGTTGATCGAAGCATAGCGTGCCGTCCCCGTGAGGTTCTTGTTCTCTCGGTAGGGGATATGCTGGTGGGTGCGGGCGTCCCGGTACTTCTTGGCCAGCCCAAAGTCAATGATGTAGACTAGGTTGCCTTTCTTCCCCAGCCCCATGAGGAAATTGTCTGGCTTCACATCTCGGTGGATGAAGTTCTTGGAGTGAATATACTCAATTCGACTTATCTACAAGCAGAGAAGCAACGGTAAGACACTCAGTCCCAGAGCAACGTGCCTAGAGAAAGCAGCTGTGTGGCAGTGAGGAATATGCTGATATTTTCTGGTTCTCAGCCAGACAGAATGTGGCCACAGAATTCACCAAGTCACCTCTCATGTTACTTTCAGCAACCCTGCTTTCCTCACCCAGGCCTGGGCATTTCCTCTCACTGGCTGCCATGGGAGTGGACAGATAGCAGCCCGAGTGACAGCCCACTACTGGGCAGTGTCCACATGACCTGGACTACAAACGCGTCTCCTCGGAAACCAAATGCCCCTTCAGTGGGATGGTCCTCAGGATGCCGAGGGCAGGCCTCCAACGCATCCGGATTTCCTTTACTGTCTGCGCATGACTGGACATAATCACGGAAACTGAGCAATGTATCCCGTCAGGCTCAGAGGCCTGGGCCCCACTGCCTGGCCTCTTCAGGAAAAGGGCAGCTTACCATTTGGTCGGCGAGCAGCAGAACCGTTTTGAGACTGAACTTCCTGGAGCAGAAGTTGAAGAGGTCTTCCAGGCTTGGCCCCAGCAGCTCCATCACCATGACATTGTAGTCTCCCTCAGCCCCGCACCACCTGATGGTGGGGATGCCCACTGGATGAGAAACCAAACAGCACCTCAGCCCAGGCACCCAGAGCGACCTGGTGCTCAAGGGCCTGATAGGCCACAAGACTGCAGTAGTGATGCTTGTCCCCAGGCCCACAACTGGAGTTCAGGCTATATGTATATGAACAAGTACCAAGGCCCAACAGGCAGTAGCAAGAAGCGAGACTGGATCTGAGTTGATTTCCAGGGACGGTGTACAAAACACAAGCACGTGGGCGAACAGTCCAGGCAGTCAGAACTGGCAGGCCAGTCAGAAGCCACAGCTGTACTGGCCAGAGACTCAAATGTAAGCCTGGGAAAAACCAGGAAAGAAAGCTACTATGGGTTGGGTAGGAAAGACATTTTCCTTACTCACTCTGTTGTTGGAAAAACAATAAACACACCTTGAGGATTTACACACTAATCCAGACTTTACACAGGCCAATTGGTGGATGTGGGAATGAAGACAGGATAAATCTAATAAAGAATCCAGAACCCCAAGTGGGGGAAGGGATCTAAAGATTCCTTAAAACCTGAAGGTAGCAGTCCAGAGCAATGCAAAGGGAGCCAGGGAAGCTGGGAGCAGGTGGCTGTGAAGACTGACGTGGACACGGGCACAGACAGCAGCCCTGCGGCGGCAGGAGGAGGTGAGCTTCTCAAACCCTCCCTGGACACCGGCCATGCTCTCCCTGTGTATGTGACCTCCAGTGTGTGCAACCTGAGCACTCAGCACACACATTCCCACACACGGCTCTGCCGGGAGCCTCAGCTCTCTCACTACTTCCATTACAAGACGCTGGGTGAATCCTTCCATCTAAACATCGCTTTACTACCTAAAGGTAGAATGTAAACTATATAACGTCTAAACGTTGCTGAAACCTAACCCAACGGGAGACCTCCAACACTCTTAACAGCAGTATCTATGACCTATCTGCCTGACCTTGCCAGTGCTTGCCAGGTAACCTAACCAGACACTGTAGAAAGCAAGCATGCCTAAGTGCTGCCTAACACCACGTCCATATAGCACTTGACAGTATCCTTGTGCCATTTGGTGAAGCTTACTTTATCTACTGGAAAGGATGCTTTTAAGCGTTTTCTTATATACTCAATTTGAAAATTTTTTTTTGGGGGGGAGGGGGTCTGGTTGTGGGGCCTGGGTGCTGTCCCTCAGCTCAAGGCTAGCGCTCTACCACTTGAGCCACAGTGCCACTTCTGGGTTTTTTTCCTGCTTATGTGGTGCTGAGGAATCGAACCCAGCGCCTCCTGCATGCATGGCAAGCACTCTACCACTGAGCCACCTTCCCAGCCCCCTTGAAAAATTCTTACATATGGATTTCTCATATCTTTTCTCTAGGTAGGCTCTCGTAGATTATAAGATACAAACTATTGGACTACATAAGACTTAAAAGGTAGCATCAGATTGCTTTCCAAGATGAGCAAGTCAACTAACAACATTGCCAGTGTGGACCAGCCAGACCCTCCCTGTAGGCTAGACACTGTGCCGTGCTTGTGGCACGCACCCGAGGTACAAACCTGCCTCACTGCCTAGGCGGTGAGGGTTCAGAGGTGAGTGGTCGTGCCCGGTGGGATGCTTAGTAATTTTTTTTTTGGCCAGTCCTGGGGCTGGAGCTCAGGGCCTGGGCACTGCCCCTGAGCTTCTCTGCTCAAGGTTAGCATGTCACCACTTGAGCCACAGCACCACTTCTGCCTTTTTCTGTGTATGTGGTACTGAGGAACAGAATTCAGGGCTTCATGCCTTCAAGGCAAGCGCTTTACCACTAAGCCACATTCCCAGCCCCATGCTTAATTTTTTTAAACCAAGATTAAACAGTCTTTGTGTTTTTTTTTTTTTTGGGGGGGGGAGGGGAGGACGACAACAGGTCCTGGGCGCTGTTCCTGAGCTCCTTTTGCTCAAGGCTAGTACTCTACCACTTGAGCCACAATGCCACTTCTGGCTTTTTCTGTGATTGATTGGAGATAATAGTCATACAAACTTTCCTTTGTCCTATGATCCTCAGATCTCAGCTTCCTGAGTAGTTAGGATTACAGGCATGAGCCACCAGTGCCCAGCTGGAAAATACTTTTTAATGGCCCAAATCTAAGAAGCTTAAAACTAGGCCAGGTGCCGGTGGCTCACGCCTGTGATCCCAGCTACTTAGGCTGAGCTCTGAGGATCACAGTTCAAAGCCAGCCCAGGCACGAAAGTCCATGAGACTCTTATCTCCAATAAACCATCAGACAACTGGAAGTGTTGCTGTGGCTCAAGTGGTAGAGCGCTGACCTTGAGCTGAAGAGCTGAGGGACAGCGCCCAGGTTCATAGTGCAAGCCCCATGACCGAGACAGACAGACAGACAGACACACACACACTTTTCAGCAGCTCAGTTTTAAAACAAGCTTGACAATGTTTCTAGACAACGTTGTTACTCAGATAACTGAAAAACAAAACGAGGGAGTATATCTAGCTCAGCGGTAGAGCACATAACAAAGTCCTGAGTTTGATCCCCAGCCCTGCAAACCAAAACATCCATCAAGCTTCCTGGAAAACCAGGGGCTCTTCAAGGGGATGAGGGGTTACGAGCATGTACTTCAATACCTAAGATACTTCCCATATCACGTGTGTTCTCTGACAATGTAGAGTAGCTCACAATACAAAGATCACGAGTACACATGTGTGATAGGGCACAAGCCTGTAATCCTAGCAGTCGGGAAGTGAGGCAGGGGGATGTGGAGCATAAAGCCACCCTGGACACACAGAACCCTGTCTCAAAATAACCCAAACAGCTGGGCGCTGGTGGCTCACGCCCATAATCCTAGCTACCCAGGAGGCTGGGATCTGAGGATCACAGTTTGAAGCCAGCCCAGGCAGGAAAGTTTCTAAGACTTTTATCTCCAATTAGCTAGCAAAAAAGCCAGCTCAAGTGGTAGAGCGCCAGCCTTGAATGGAAAAGCTAAGGGACAGACATACCCCAGGCTCTAAGTTCAAGCCCCAGGACAAGTACAAAAACAAACCAACAAACAGAATAGGTTCCAATTCAGGCTGAGACCGGGCCTCCAGAAGAATTCTATTGGCAAGACTCATTCTTCAATGTTACCACGTCTTCATGGTTCTGAATTTCCTACTAAATTCCCTTCTGCTCCTTTAGTCAAATTATTGTAAAATCCAGAAAATTCTTAAAGAAAAGACTGTTAAGATTAAGGTGGAAGCGTTTCTACACCTGGCCCAACTGAATTCAGTGCTCAAAGCCTTGGGGTGGATATGCTTGGGACACAGAGGTGGCTGAGGCGGAAATCTTTGTCCTACCCAAGAGAAAACTGGAGCCCAGAATGTTCCAAGCCTCCCTTCCCAAAGTTCAAAGGAAAGCATGACCCGGCAGGCAGTGCCAGGGACCACCTCAGGAGACCCACACCAGGCGGCACTCATATCACATCATACGCCCACATGTGTATTCTGACATTCACACAAACTTGCGCTTCAGACTACTTTCTAGCCAAACAAGCTGGTACTTAAACTAAAGCCTAAGACTGATTCTTTTTGACCAATGAGGCCTTCAGTACCTAAGTCTCTGAACACAAAAATCTGGTCAAGGCAGTGAGTAGACCCTTGCCTTTCCCTAAATGAACCAGAAACTTTGATTTGTGATGCTTTCTCCCTCACCACGCAAAACCAAGGCTTTCTTGCTGGCTGCCAGTGGCTCATGCCTGTAATTCTGGTTTCTTAGAAGGCTGAGATCTGAGGATCCCAGTTGGAAGCCAGCCCAGGCAGACAGATACAAAGGACTTGTATATACAATTTACCAGCAAAAAGCCAGAATTGGAGGTATGGATCAAGTGGTAGATTGCAAAGGGGAAAAAAAAAAAAAAGCCAAGCAAAACTGTGAAGTCCTACGTCCCAGTACCAGCAAAAACAAACCCAACCCAACCCAGGCTTTCATAAGGGCGTACCTCCTCCTTGCATCATTTTGTAGATCTTGCTCTCAATATGGAGCTGAGGGTGTTTGGTTTTGACACATTCAAGCTTGATGGCCACTTCTTCTCCTGCAGCAATGTCCGTACCTTGGCAAAGAAAGAAAACCACACACATTAACCATGTGGCGTCCACTCAGCACAGAATGGAGACATCTACTTACAAGCACCGATTTTCATTTTCTGCGATGGACCTGGTACTGCCAGGTCACGGACGTCTGTGGAGAGCTGCTCTCAAGGTGCCGTGCTCTCTAGGCGCCCACTTCCAACCACTCCCAGTCGCCAGAGGCCCGGCCCTCTCTGCCTGAACCTTCCTGTGAGTCCCATCCGTTGGACCCGCACCTCCCACCCCACCCAATGCAAACGGTGGCCCAGTTCCAGGCTGTCTTCTGTGCTGCCTTGACAGGCACTGGGGAGACATGCCTTCCTTACACCACAGCCTGGGCCTAGTCAGGTACGACATTTATCACTCTCACGCTGGGCCGTCTGCGGCCAGCTGAGTCCCCCCAAGGTGCAGAGTAATCTCTAAACCATCACAAGCCTGGCAAAGGTCCGCAATCAGCCCAACAGATTCCTCGCTCCCTCTCTGGGGACACCAGACCAAAAGGTGTCCCAAGGCCCCAAGAGCACCACCACAAGACACACCTGGTACACACACCACCACCACACGACACACCGAGTGAGTACACACCTTTTGTTAGTCTAACGCCATGACAGCTAGCCTACAAGTTTGAGGCAAAAATCAGGTTTCATTTAGAAATGTTAAATCTATGCTTTAGCCCAGTAAGGATCTGTGCTGGGTACAGGAGAGGGGAGCAGAGCACCCTGGCTAGCCGCCTGCCCCCTCCCCACAACAGAGTTACTCTTGCCAACCAAGATGGGGTGGGGATCTGCTGTGTATCTCACAGAGAACCCAGGAAACAAAGGTGCTACCAGCCACTCAACACGGAATCACAGGAAAAGGTGGAGCCAGACCAACTTAAGCATCAGGACAACCCAGCTGCCGATCCCCCTCAGTCCAGGGAACAACCAAGAACCACAGAAGCCATTTTGGTCTGCTCGGACAGCTACCTCTAGGCAAGCTTCGGCCCAAAGCTGTAGATCCACAAGGACGACTGCTGGCGATCGCGCTAAAGACAAGAACGCCACTTACCGCTCAGCAAAGACAAGACAGGCAATAGATACATCGTATTCCAATTGTCTACAACCAGGACAATCAATCCAATTACAAGAGAAATGACTTCACCTAAAATGTACTTGAGAATGAAAAATGACCTCTGAGTTCCTTTAAGGACCTGGACTCTGCACCGAAGCCGCCAGCCGCCAGCCAGAGGAAGGGTGACTCATCTCACTAGTTACATCAGCATCCCCCATATCACACACACAGCACAGCCTCGGGGCCAACACCACTGGCCCCGACAGCCTGGGGCCGGCTGGCCGGCCAGCCAGATAGACCAGGACCTTCGGGAAAGCAGAGAGCTCAAGCTCTACTGCTCAGTGGCAAGCTCACGTCTGACGATCACTCCTGTAAGAACGACAGTTGGGGACAATGACCACTGGCTCTCTAGAACACATCATGAATCCCATCTCTTCGTGAACCAGGAAACAAAGACGTAAACGTGGACACGAAGGCCACAGGGGCGCTGCACACAGCCTCCATAAGCACATGGCAGCAGCACACACCCCGGGGCCCCGAGAGCAACTCTCATCACCTACTCAGCGAGAAGACCCGGCCATGAAGCTTCAAATTCTGTGTGTTCTGTGTGTCTCAAAACAGACTCAGGGTTCTGCAGCCCGGCCACTGCGCCTCTCCAGCTGGTGGCACCTCCTGAGCCCGCTGGCCACGCTGCTCACAGTGCAGTCCTCACACTGCCACCAGAGGGCAGACGCAAAGTGAGACGCAGAGGAAGGCTGATGGCAACTTAGCACTGATAACAATGTTCTTCTTTCAATCGTACTTTATGAAAGTTGGCTACACAGGAGGCTGAGATCTGAAGACTGAGGTTTGAAGCTAGCCCAGGCAGGAAAGTCAATGAGACTCTTACCTACCAAAAAAGATGCCAAAAGTGGAGCTGTGGCTCAAGTGGTAGAGCACTCGCCTCAAGTAAATGAAGCTCAGGAACAATTGCCAGGCCATGACCTGTTCAAGCTCCAGGATCAGCACCCCAAAACAAAACAGCAATGAAAAACACATCAGTTTGCAGATTTGAAATTATAAAACACAGCTTTCTATTACAGGTAGATCCAAGACTACTATTAGAAAGAATTGAATATTTAAAAGATAGCTTGAGTTCTGGATGTCAGATTCAGAACAAGGAGAAATGTTTATTCAGGTTGACTGTTTATATAAGGACATTTACTATCCCAACAACCTCATCCCTCTGCACAGTCAACAATCCTAGCTCCAAAGGAGGGTATCCTTAGGAGAGGAGACAAAGGCTCAATGTCTGTGTGTGCGTCTGATCATGTGAAGTAATATTCATGGAAATGAACTCCAGGAAATGGAAACAAGGTTCTTCCTTTGTTGCTGTTTTGTTTTCTTTCTGTCATGCTTGTTCATTTATCTGTCTTTAGGAGGGTAAGGGGGGGGTGCGGATAGAAATGGAGGGACAGGGCTGGGAAGGTGGCTCAGTGGTAGAGCGCTTGCCTCACATGCATGAGGCCCTGGGTTCGATTCCTCAGCACCACATAAGCAGAAAAAGCTGGAAGTGGTGCTATGGCTCAAATGGTAGAGCGCTTGCCTTGAGCTGAAGAGCTGAGGAACAGTGCCCAGGCCCTGTTCAGAGTTCAGGTCCCACAACCGACAAAAAGAAAAAAGAAATGGAGGGACAAAGGTGAAAAAAACGCAACAGTGATCCCCACTAGATACTATGTTGAAAACCAACTATATAACCTGTGGGTGGAAATGGGAGGGAAAAACCTGGGAGAGAATGAGGGAAGGGGTGACACTGTCCACAAAGAAATGTACACTTTTACCTGACTTAATGTGTAATTATAACCCCACTGTACACCACCTTTATAATAACCATTAAAAAAATAGGCAACCACAATAACCCTGGTTCACTGAAGACAAGACTCCCTAGGTACGGACACTGGTCAGGTTAAAGAGGAGCACTACTTCTAGAAAAGCAAAATCATGCCTCTCAAGCTAAGCAGGCAAAGCAGGTGGTGAAGTACATGGCCCTCACCCAGCATGCGCTGTACTGGGGCCGAAAGGCATAGAGTGACCAGCACAGATGCTAGCAATTCCCACTAAGGACTGTCTTGTCAACAAGCAGGAGTCCTGGAACAGAAGGGCAAAGGCCACCTCCCAAGGCAAGACTGCAGGGAACTAACTGCTGAGCATGGCTGCCTCCCACTGGAAATGAGGCAGCACAACACCTTCCTAATGCAAAAGTAGCTGCCATGGTATTCAGACAACCTAGCATGCTGCTGCAAGAGACATCAGGTAAAAAGGAGCAGAGATGAAGGAGAGACCAAAGAGTGCTTAAGCACTTCATAAAGTCTGACTATTCCATCCACCCAGGTGAGGCTCAGAGACTAGAGTAAAGCACAAGTATCAACTGTGGGCAAAAAACTTTCATTCTACCTGTCTGGTCCTTAGACTCTACCATCTAGGAGACAAAAGCAGGAACAGAGGCCTGGCCCCGGCCGCTGCTACTCCTACACTGATTCCATCCATGCTGGCCTTTCTATATCACCACAGACAACCTGGCCTTTGGCCTCCCCAGCCTCCCCTCTCCTCCAGAAGTCTTCCCTCAAGATACCTTGTCCCATGGGGCTGGGACTGTGGCTCGGTGGTAGAGTGCTCACCTAGCACACATGAAGCCCTGGGTTCCATTCCTCAGCACTACAGACACAGAAAAAGCTGGAATTGCTGCTACGGCTCAAGTGGTAGAGTGTTATCCTTGAGCAAAAGCTCAGGGGCACTGCCTAGGCCCTGAGTTTAAGCCCCAGGACTGGCAAAAAACAAAATATTAGCTGTTCTAACGTGTTATCACGTGTCTAAGTGGCACGGTGCTAGCAAAAGTGAAGGGATCTCTGGTTTCCACAGCCTCAACCAAAACAAAACAAAACCCCACACGCTTTTACCCTGACAGCAATAAGCTAATACAGGGGTGGACACAGGGCTAAGCTCATCATCCTGCCCAGGTATTTTTAAAGTGTGGGCTGTGGGGCCTTCACGGCCTACCCCTGAAGAGCCTTCCACATCACACTTGCTTAAATAAAGACTGAGATTGGACTTTTGGAAACTTGGTCTTTAGAATCAGCTTCATGATGCTGTTACTCTCTGAAGGGGCGTTTTTGGGTTCAACATGAATGCTAATGTGCAGGACCACTGCGCCAGACCAACCCTCTGAACAGCACATCACCAGGGCATGGTCTTCCCTCCCTCAGCTCCATCCACCTTGGATGTCCAAATCCCCAAGTAGAAAACCCAAAACCAAGAGCCAGGCTCAAAACAAGGCAAGCCCCACTGGGAGAGTGGAGTGCTTTATAAGAAATCCTGAGGCAGCAACTGGATTGGTCTCAATTACCCTCCTACTTTTAATACACATCACACAGCCTTGGAGACAAGGACCCAATTCCTCAATTCTCGTCCTGGCGGACAGTGTGGTAAGGAGAAGCCGACACACTGCATGGCTCAGACCAGCCCTCTGCCTCTAGGGGTTCCTCCCCCAGGTCCTGCCTTTCTAAGCAATAGCTCATGTTTTAGTTCCTCAGTAAGACTTGAAAGCATAGCAATGTGGGCAAAGAGACAATGAGATGGAAAGATTAGCAGTGTTCAAGCCAGCAAGCAAGCAGAGTCACAGGGCACTCAACCCCAGAACTGTAGCAATCCATTTCAGAGCACACAGGAAGTCAGGTACACCTCTCTGGAGGTCAGCCCACTTGGCCAAGCGCCCGCTGTGTGGCCAGCACAGTGAATGCGCAGTGAGCCCTCACCAGGGGCCCCATCTCCAATAAGAGCACTCACACCCAAATGCTGTGAGAGCCACACCACACGTGAAGTGCTGGTCATCTTCAGAAAACACAAAGTGTTTGGGCAAGGACTCTGAGACCAAAAGTCTAAAATACCTTTTT